ATGTCTCATATTCTACATCTGAATCTTGTTGAACCTACACTGCTGCTTATGTGATTGAATCAGATCCGGAGAGCTTATGGTGATTCAGTGTTGCCTCTAGTTGAGAATTTACCTCCCAAGAGGTCATTTAAACCTAAGTTGATGACTTCTTTAGGGCTGCAGGAATTGCTGCTTAATGCAAAAGCTTCAGGGGAAGACACAACAGAAAGAAGGCATCTTAGGTGAGAGTCAAGGGCCCTTTTAATGGATTTTCTTGACACTTTGTCACAGTTTAATTTGCAAACAGCCTACATTCCTCTTCCTAGAGAATTCTTCCAAATATCTTATCCAATCCCCAGGCTAGAGAAAGAGGAACAGAAAAAAAAAAAAAAAAAAAAAAACAAGAAGAAGAAGAAAAAAAAAGAATGGGAGGGCAATTGGTATTATGGGTAGAGAAGAGAGAGTCCAATTCAGAGCTTTTAGCTGAAGAAAAGCATCTGAAAACCTGTTACTCATGCGGGACCACCCAGTCAGAATACAGGAAGATGTTAGGCATGACCAGTCCCTCAGATGTCCCTTCTGTCACACCCATTCCCTGAAGTTATGTGGAATTGCAGCAGGTTTTGAAACTTCAAAAACAACCTAGAGGTTTTTTTTTTTTTTTTTTTTTTGTCTTTTGTTGTTGTTGTTGATGTTTGCCCATAAGGCAGGTTATTAATGTGAAAACTACTTTAAGCACTAAAGCTTGTGTGCTGGACACAGCTGAAAACTCTGAGGAGCCCAAAGCTTGGACATTTGGAAAGGAGCGGGTAAAAGGAGTGCTTGACTGTCTAACAGCCTACACAGCTATTACTGGTCTCTCTGTAAGGCCAAATCATCACTGTATGGATTAACATTCAGCTTTGTTGAACTTAGAGGCTGAGGATATGAATGGCAAGTACAAGGATAACATTAAATACCTTTGGGTTGTTGTGCATGTGTCCCAGGGGGGTCAGAGAGAGGTGGACAGGTGCAGAATTGGAATTCTGGAAAGAATTAAGGAGCCATTTAGAAGTCTCTACCCTCAGAATGGCTTGGAAATCTAAGTGGACCTGTGGGATGGGGTTTCTTAGGCAGATTTTGAGCACTAAATCCTATAGCCACATCTGCAGAAGTCACTGTGCCTGGAGGTAGAGGCCCTACTTCCTCTAAAAGCAGCATTGACTATCTGTTATTCACATTCACTGACAACTTACCTACCCTGTTTAGCTGAAACATCCATGCCGGACAAATATTTAACCAAATATTCAACCATGTCAAGTCTATAGCCACATGCTTGTTTATCTTATTCACAAGGCAAAAATGCTTTAATGTGTGATTGTCCCTGTGCATGTGTAGAGAGAAAAAAGAGAGAGATACACGAAGATGGACTAGAAAGAGACAGAGAGGCTAATGAATTGTGCCAACCAGGGCAAGAGAATAATAAAACTCCATTGTTAAAAGCGAGGGTGTAGGTTAACTTGAGCTCAGTAACTTCCTTCTAACCCTTCAGCAGCACATTATCTAAGATACTAAAGTGCTAAATTGGCCAGATAAGAGATGTGCTAAGATGTAAGATCTTCTGAACAACAAGGAAAGAAAATTGAAGTGAAAATTGCAATCTCCACTAGCAAGCGATTTAAGTGAGACGAAGTGAAAATGTTTACAATGGGAGGAAAGCAAGGAACTGTGAAGAGGATGATATTTAATAATAAAGATTAAATTGGAGACCTCCGGAGGAAAGAGCTACATGCCAGAGTCACACAGCTCCACAGGGATCTGGGCATGGGGGTTGGTAACAGCTTAAAGGAGCTTACCAGAGTCAGCAACAACCCTACTGAACACTGAGTGTACAAAAGGTGTCAAAGCAGTGGCAACAGATGTTTTTCTGGAAGAACAGTGGAATGTTAGTCACAGGAGAGTACTATGACCTGTATGAGAGCTGCATCTCACCGACAGCTAGACAAGGATGCACACACATAGAACCAGGGGGGGACACAGGGGCTATGCCCCAGAGCTGGAGGTTTGGAAGGCGAGGTTGCAGCGAAGACAAAACAGAAATGCGAGAGACAGAAAGATGCCAAAGAACGTGTCTTTAAGGAAACATCTGTGAGGAAGGTGACCGTTGAATGAAAATTCTGGGACAAAAATACTACAAACTAATCACTACGGTGTGATTAAAGGTGTACTATCAGGAGGCAAGAGTTGGGGAGATGGCTCAGTCGGTCAAGTTGCTTGTTACGGAAGTGTGGTGCCAGGGAGATTCCTGAGGCTTGCCTGCCATCCAGCCTAGCTGAATCAGCGAGTTCCATGTTCAGGGAGAGACACTACCTCATAAACTCAGGTAGAATACAATTGAAGAAGACACTCAGCCTCAAACTCTGGCCCCCACGTGCACACGTAAACACTGAACATCCACATACATATACACACAGGCATAACACACACACACCAAGCCCTAAAGTTCGCAGCCTACCACTTAACCCTAGACTAGCTACTTCTATCCTTTGACCTTAAGGCTTCACATGTAGAGGTGGGGCTGGCAGTGCTATCTCTTGAGGACTGCATGCCCTGTCAGGAGCAGCCCTGACTTGGAGAGTGCTTTCAGCTTACTCCTGCAGCCTCCCCATATGTAAGGTGGCTGCATAAGATATACAAGGTGACAACTGTCATACTTCAGGGAGGCTTGGAGGGTGGCGAAATGTGAGTTAAACTAACTCGCAGGAGTAGCATCCTTTGAGGTTTATAATTACTGTGTGCCAGTTTCTTGTATGTAAAACACGATTCCCCTCTATCCGTGTGTGTGTGTGTGTGTGTGTGTGTGTGTGTGTGTGTGTGTGTGTG